TCCAATCCCAGGTTGGTTTTCAAAAGGAAAGAACTGAGAACTGATGATGATGTCATGTACATCAACTTGGTCCATCACAAGAGAAAGCAAAGGATCTAGATTGTTCTTCCCTTATCATTCACATGCCTTCCCACCTGCATACTGCTTTACTCTGTAGAAAACTCTGAAAGCACAGGCAAACACAAGGAAAATTTACATCACCAAGACCAGAGCCATTTTGGAGTATATGCTGTGTTAAATTTTTTTCCAAGAATTAGATTGCATTGTACTTAGTTTCTTAGCATGCATTTCTTATCAGTATATTTTTGCCACCTTTCTATATCAATAATTATATTTCCGAAATACTATTTTTAATGGTTACCTAATATTCCACTGTTGTTATTATTATTAAAGGACCTCTGGTAGTGTAGTGGTTACGAATTAGGTTGCTAACCTTAAGGTCAGCAGTTCAAAACTACCACCTGTTCCGCGAGAGAAAGATGAGGCTTTCTGTTCCCATAAAGATTCACAGCTTCAGAAACCCTATACAGCGTCACTATGAGACAGAACAAACTTCACGGCATATAACAACAACAACATTATTATTATTAAGTGCCATTGAGTCAGTTCTGACTCACAGTGACCCTGTATAGGGTTTTCAAGGAGTGGCTTAAACCACCAACCTTTTGGTTCTAACCGATCTTGTAGTCACCCCACAGTGCCCCCTCCCCCAGGACTTCTTTATTGGGAACATCGTCTTTCACTGTCAGTTACAAAGTCACAAGTGTATTTTCCCAGGACCAGCAGAAAGTAGTGGTAGTAGTGACAGCAGAGAGTGACAGCCAGCTCTTTGAACAAAGTTCTATTCTAGACACTCGATTTGCATGAACTCATTTCATCTCACAGACAATCCTGAGAGCTAGGTGGTAGCATGATCTTTTTCCATTTTGCAGAGGAAGAAATCAAGGTCAGGGACGTTGTCCAAAGACCGTCAACTAATAATGGTGGAACCATTATTCCAGCTCATGCTTCTGATTCTAGAAATCTTATTTCTTTTCCCTTTATTCATTTTGTAATCATTTTGCATGCACTAGGTGGAACTTTGAGAGGGAGTTTTTGAAAGTCATTTGTACAGATATGTACGAAAGGATGACTCCTGATGTGACTCTTCTAAGTCTGGAAACTTATTGAGGCCAGAGTCCGTGGAGCTCTGGTAACGTAGTGGTTACAAATCGGGCTGTGAACCTCAAGGTCAGCAGTTCAAAACTACCAGCTGTCCCATGGGAGAAAGATGAGGCTTTCTGCTCTCGGAAACCCTGTACAGGGTCGCTTTGAGTCGAAACCGACTCCACAGCACATAACAAGAGCAACAAGAAGTCTGGAAACTTATTGAAGAGTCCATGTAGAGTTCTTTTTAAATTTGTCATGTTATCTCAGCCTGTGCTTTGAACCATCAAGTTGGTTCCGACTTATAGCGACCCTGTATCAAGTTTCCAAGGAGCGACTTGGTGAGTTTAAACATAATAGATGCTCAGTATGTACGAAATCATGTCTAAAGCTGAATGGGTTCATCTGGTAGCCAAATCTCACTTAAGCCATTTAATACTGAAAACACTGAAAAGGAAACATTTAAATATGAGAATCAGAAGTCATCATTACACTTAAATAACCCTTTTATGATTTTCAAAACCTTTCCACATAATCTGTCTCATTTCCTCTTCCTGCCTATGAGAACAGTAGGGCACAGAGCAGTCCCAGTTTAGTGATGAGAAAACTAAGGTCTGCAAAGACAAATGAGCTAGCCTTGATCACCGCTAGCTTTTCTTGTTTTGTTTTGAATCAAAGAGGAATTGGGCTCCTTACTTCCTCATTTCCTATTTTGTGTACACATTCCGTGGGGTCAAAGTTGGGACACAGGACATAGACTACTTAGGTATAGAAAACAGGGTGCTCTGATAGTTTTGCTTCTGATTACTTGGAAACGATCTAACAATACACTATCAAAATGTGGTCCTCAGACCAGTGAACTAATTTTAAAAACACTAACCCATTGCTGTTGATCTGAATTCTGAATTAGAGAGACGCTGTAGGACAAAGTAGGGGTCCGGATGTGGCGCTGTAGGGTAAGTGTAGGACTGCAAGGTTGGTTTGAGCCACAGGGTCGATGGTTCAAACTTACCAGTCACTCCTTGGAAACCCTATATTGGGTCGCTGTGAGTTGGAAATGACTTGATGGCACTTAACAATAACAACATAGGGCAAAGTGGCACCATAGGGTAATCACTCAAGCTCAAGTTTGGTTTGAACCTAAAGGTCGGCAGTTCAAACTCACCAGGTGTTCCTTAGAAACCCTATACTGACTCACGGTGAGTGGAAACTGACTAGACAGCACTTGACAACAAAGGACAAAGTAGACCTGGCCCATAAAGTATCCAAAGCTGTCATCTTTAGGGAAGCACACTGCTGCATCTCTCTCCCATGAAGCGGCTGGTGCATCTGTCTTTGTTCTTCACGATTTAAAGATATAATACTCATTTGTTCGCTTCATGGCTCAGCTTCAGAGAAAGGACTCTGTTTATACATTGTTTTCTTCTGCATCTATTCCTAGCTTGCAAAACCCCTGAGAGATAGTCAACAGTAAAAAGCTAACTAAAAACTCTCAAGAGGTTTGGAAATTTTAAAATATGCTCCTCAATAACACATGGGTTAAAGAAGCCATACTGAACGTAGATTGTATTTTCAAATGAAGGGTACTGAAAATACTACATAGCAAAACATGTGAGTTACCACTAACACATAACTAACGGACCTTAAAGGTTTACTGAAAGAATGAACACTGATAATTAATAAGTGATTAAGAATCCAGCTAAACATATTGTTGTCGTTAAATGCCGTCATCAGGTCTGACTCACAGTGACCTTGTATAGGGTTTCTGAGGCTTTAAATCTTTGAGGGAGCAGAAAGCCTCATCTTTCTCCCCAAGAGCAGCTGGTGAGCTTGAACTGTTGACCTTGTGATTCACAGTCCAGTGCTTATCATATGACAGGGGGCAAAGTTATGAAAACGTCTTACACATAATCAAATACCTTGAGGCAAAGAGTTGCAAGGCCTAGGGGATCAGAACCATAGTCTCAGGGGAGACCCTGGTCAACTGGCCTCACATAGTGCCCCAAGACAATACTCTATATCCTAATTTGGTGAGTAGCAACTAGGATCTTAAAAACTCATGGGCAACCGTCTAAGGTGCAACAAACTATTGGTCTCTCCATGTGTGGAAGAAAGAAGAGTGATGAGAATTAAAGATGCTTGGAATCAATTAGCCCAGTGGACTAATGGAACACGTGCACGTTGGTCTCCGTGACCCTGAGACCAGAAGAACCAGATGGTGCCCAGCTATCACTACCAAGAGGATCACAGTTGAATGTCCTGCATTGAATGGGGAACAATGGGGAACAAAACTCAAAATTATTTTTAAAAAGCCCAGACTTTAGTGGTCAAAAAGAGACTGGAGGCCCCAAGACTATGACCCTTGACCACCCTTTAGGTTAAAATGGCACTCACCCTTGTGGCCAAATTTTCAGTCAAACGATTGTTGTTGTTGTTATGTGCCATGTTGTTGGTTCCAACTCATAGCGACATTGTATAGTGTTTCTGAGGAGTGTCTGGTGAGTTTGAACCGCCAACCTTGCAGTGGGGTGCTTTCCTACAGAGCCACACCAGTGGGGACAGCATTAGGGAGGTCTGCTCACCATGGAGTAGTCTACCATTCAAGATCAAAAGGGCAACATTTACCTAAAGACAAAGTTCAGAAGAGAGTGGAATGGAAATAAGAACCACAGAGAGGAAGTGGGATAATTGTTGCATGGAGGGGATTGTAATCATTGAGATGAAACAAAGTGTGTGATTTGTTGAATGTGAAGCTGATGCTCTCTCTGTAAACCTTCACTCAAGTCACAATAAAAATTTTTCAAAAAAAATAAGTACAAAGAATCAGACTCAAGAAGTGAGCCAAAAAAAGAAAAGAAAATTCTTGAGGTCAATAGTTCATTCTTAGACATCTTTGTTGTTGTTGTTGTTGTTAAGTGCCTTTGAGTCTCTGCCTATTCATAGCGACCCTTTATAGGGTTTCCAAGGAGCGTCCGGTGAGTTTGAACTGCCAACCTTGTGGTTCAAACTGACCATGCAGTCTAGTGCTTTATCCCTCAGCGCAACACCAATACTCCTGATATCTTTGTAGATACCCTCTCATTTCCAAAGCAGTGGTCAGTGCTTACAGAGGAACTGAACATCTAGTTGTGTTGCTTATATCTTTTAAATGAATTTTAATTTTTAAAAAATTATTGCTGTAGACATGCGCGTGCACACACACACTACACACATGAAGGCTGCAACAAGTTCATGGGAAAATTCCATCATGTTTTCAATTCCATTTTTCCATGAAGTGTTTGAAACCCCTTGGTCTCCTTCTGGTGGGCTTGAACTGCAGACCTTTCGTTAGCATCTGAGCGCTTTAACCACTGCGCCTACAGGCCTTCCTGAGATGCCCTGTGGGTGGTGAATTCCCAGTGTGTCAGGATTGCAGCTTCTTTGGGTTGTGGTGCAACTTCCTTTTCCTTACCTCTGGGCATTGAGGAGAAGTGTTTTGTGCTTATCTTACTAAAAATATCTTAGAGATAAAAGTGAAGGATAAGCCCCTTTCTACTGTTCCGCCAAGCACATTGCTTTTGATCATCGGAAGCTGAGACGAGAGCCCTGACCCTGTGCCTTTTACAGAGGCAACTGTCTGTTAAAGTTAGAGAAAGTTTTGCATGGGTAAGGGACAGAGGATGAGGCTCTGGGGATCAATTGTACTAAAGGAAAAAGAAGTGACTTTAATTTCATTAATGGTCTCCTGGATGATTCGGCTACAACTTTAATTCTCCATTAAATATTAATGCTACCCAGTGCTTAGTACACTGTCTTTAGAATCCTACAGCTCAAACTGACTCTAACCTGTTTTATATTTTATAACTGAATCACAGGGCTTTTTCAGGAGGAGTCAGCAAAGCAATGCCACCTACTCCTGTCCTCGTCAGAAGAACTGTCTGATCGATCGGACTAGTAGAAACCGCTGCCAGCACTGTCGACTACAGAAATGCCTTGCCGTCGGGATGTCTCGCGATGGTGAGTGCTTCATTGCGTTCTTGGACAGTAGTGTGGGGCCGTCCTGTGTTTAGGTTCAGGGCTGCAAAAGTGCTTTCTGAGAAATGGTCCCACGTCTGCCAAAATAGGCTCTTCCTCCCTAAGTCAACTGTGGCCACATTGTGTGTTTCCAGCATTTGCTTCCTCCATTGTCTATGGGAGGTAGTGAAGGAAGAACCATCTGTCTGGTCAGAACACTGTAACTTTTATGATGGGCAAGACAGAGCTGGTGTCTTGCTCATCATAAACGGATCGTAGGTTAAATATCACTTGAGGCCCTTATTCTTCCTAGAGGCATTTTCCCCCAGTCTGAAGCACCTCCCGAAACCATTGCTAATCATTACTTGCTTTACACTACTAAGCTTATTGGCAGTTGGAATGAATTACCTTTTCTGCTAACTGGATATTTTGAATCACATGCCAAAGTCAAATATTTGTACATACAGACTATGTGAAAATAGTGCAGAGCTTGGCTCAGCGACAAATGTTCTTTTCATTAAACGAAGCTATTTTAAGAAACAGAGATCTTCTACCATCCAATTATAAAACATTTCCAGATCTTCCTGGAAAACCAGCTTAAATGCTTTGAATAATCAGCACCAGATTTCAAGACAGTTATTCTTGTTCATGGAAACTGGGCTGAAAGTATAGCAGATACATTTTAAGGACTTTTTCTAAGATACTGACTGGTTCTTATAAGACATCCCTTTGAAGGGAACATCGCTTCCAATGGTGTTACTTCTGAAAGTGCTATACTGTGGAGAAATAACTTCTGAACACTGGGAAGACTTTCAGAAAACCAGCCATCTACAGGATCAGGTGTCCTGAGGGCCTGTGGCTCCTCCCAAGCATTCCTAAGTAGTGGTATATAGGGTGGCCTCTAAGAATCTGTATGGAACAAAAATCAAAGGACTTAGGACTTCCACCCTACTCTTAGAAACTCTTACGATAATGTAAAGTTTAGATTTCCTCTTCCTATGACACTCAAGCGTGGCACTGAAGGATTAAAGTCAGCCACTCCTTGGAAACCCTACTTGTTAAATGCCATCGAGTACGTTCTGACTTAGCGGACCATGTATAGGGTTTCCAGGGAGCAGCTGATAAGTTTGAACCACCAACCTTGTGGTACAGGGTCACTCTGAGTTGGAACTGACTCAACAGCACTTAAATTAAGGATAACTGTTATGAAATTGTACATGAAAATCCCAGGTCACGTATACATTCTCTCAACAGCTGGTCTTTTTATTTCTTGTATGGGGCAGCGTCATGTCTGTTGTTAACATGTGAGGCAAGGCAAAAGTTAAAACACAATCACTCTGTAAGGACTATGAATCCCCTTGGGTGTCCTAGAAGATTCTGTTCAAAAACCAAATACCTTCAGTGTATGCCTTCGAGAGATTTTACATAGGATAGCACAGGTTGTTGTGACCTTGGAGTGAGTTTGAGGGCTTATAAAATTATGGACTTGAATTTCAGCGTCCATAGCAACCTGATTGCTATCTAGCCTGTCAGTTTCTTGAATTGTGGAACTTGAAAACTGACCGGTCTTTCATCTCACTGCGCCCTGTGGGAAAGGACAGCATGTCCTCCCTGCTATGACTTAAAGAGCCTGTGAGCTGACCAGTGCCTTGGACCCACCTCACTTCCATCTCTCCTGCCCCCTGCCCCTGGTGTTCTTGTTAAGTGCCATTGAGTCAAATCATAGTGACCCTAGATAGAGTTTCTGAAGAGCAGCTGGTGAGTTTGAACTGCTGACCTTGCAGTTCAAGCCGACCTTACGGTCCAGTGCGTTAACCCGCAGTGCCATACCAGGGCCTCGAAACTTAAATAACTATTGTTACGTAATCTCAAGTCAGTTCTAACTCACAGTGACCCTATATAGGGTTTCTGAGGAGTGGCTGGTGGGTTTGAACTACCAACCTTGTAGTTAGCAGTCCAGTGCTGATCTTACAGGGCCACACCAGGCCATATAATTATGATGATGGTCAAATTAGTGAATTCATCTACCCCTTCAGGTGTCCATTTAACTAGAATCAATTAGAATTAAGTCTCTCCTGCAGAGGCATTACTTGTGTAGACAAAGCCTAATGGAAAAAGGAAATGAATTAGTGGGAAAATTCAGACCAGGAAATCATCGTTTTTCTCAATGCTCTGGGTGTTTCCGAAGAAACCATTTGACATCTCACAGTCAGTACAGTCCTTGCTCCAGGGTAAATACAGGGACATAGCTCAAGGAAAGACACTGCAAGGACACGCCTGCCCAACAGAGATCGTGTACAAAGCTCGGCCTCTCCAAAGGCTCTTTTTATTTGAGGCTGAATGAGAGCAATAGAAAGATGGACCCAAGAGTGTCACACATGCTCCTGTGACCCATGACTTAGAGGTGGTCTTCCTAAGTCAGGGAGATTGCGGGAATCACAAAGACCCCTCTCAGTCTACTTGGGCTGGTTTTACCTTGATGCTAAACGTGGTGGACGCTGTATAAGGTTTCTGAGGAGTGGCTGGTGGCAGGCCAGTGCATTAACCCACAGCGCCAGACCAGGACTCTGTAAGTCTACGTATCTTTCATCTGAACGCTGGGAAGAAGAAGGGGGCTCTAGGTCCGTCGCATTGAAGGCGAGTGAACAAGGCCTGGAGGCGACATACCAGTGGCCCCCAGGAGCCTGGAGTCTGTGATACAGGTAGACAGGACTCTGGAGCTTTTTCTGTCCTGTCCTGGGGCTGTGTGCTGGCTGCTGGGGGCAGAGCAATCTTCGTGGGCCAGGACTGCTTTCACCTCTGGATTCTGTCCTTATTTTGTGGTGGTGTGGTTTTTGGTTGAGCCTGTCTGAGACTTCAAAAGAAGCCCTAAAGCCTGCCAGAGAGGATAATGAAGGGCAGCACATTGCATATCGTGCGCTTTGACTGTTTTTGTTTGTTTTTTTTCCTTCCAGCTGTAAAATTTGGCCGAATGTCGAAAAAACAGAGAGACAGCTTGTACGCAGAAGTGCAGAAACACCGGATGCAGCAGCAGCAGCGTGACCACCAGCAGCAGCCTGGAGAGGCCGAGCCACTGACGCCCACCTACAACATCTCAGCCAATGGGCTGACGGAACTTCACGATGACCTCAGCAATTACATCGACGGGCACACCCCCGAGGGGAGCAAGGCAGACTCTGCGGTCAGCAGCTTCTACCTGGACATACAGCCTTCCCCGGACCAGTCAGGTCTTGATATCAATGGAATCAAACCAGAACCGATATGTGATTACACACCAGCATCGGGCTTCTTTCCCTACT